AATTAATACCATCTTACATAATCTAAAATATCTCTAGCATCATGTAAGAGTTTCATATAATCTATTAAGAGGACGCCACACCACTCGTAATTCGGTTGTAAAAACTGTTTCGCGCGGGACAACCTTTCTCGCATTATAATTATAATAGAATAATCAAAATTTTACAACATATAGAGGACAATTTTATCTATGTCGTAGCGTTTTTATTTTTTGGATAACATAAATACGTTTAAAGTTATAGGTTTGAGAACATTTGACTTTTTTGTATTTTTCAAATGATTGTTAAAAATTATTGGGTAGTGCTATCAAAAAAATAACGACGCTACGACACAGATAATTTTCTTCTTAGTAAGGATTTACAATTTTGGTAATTCTAATGTTAATATTGAGGGAGTAATGTTGTCCCGCGCAAAACAATTTTTAGCATATGGAATTATTGTAAAATAATTTTTGTAATTATTTTCGAATTATTCCCTGGTGGCGTAAAACGACAAAACGCGGCTTCCCCCACTCCATTCAAGCACTCGCGTTTTTCGTAATCGGCCGGCACCGGGCAACCGCGCGACAAATTGTGACAAAAATAAACATTTCCGATAATCAGAAGTCGATGGACATACTATTATTATCTTGAATAATAATATAGACCATATCTAAACTTATTTATAAGCTACCTACACTTAATTATGTCGTCGACCGTCGTAGTCACCATATGACAGAATACGCTGTGGAATTACTATATAATATTATGATACCTATTATAATTTAGCAATATCAGAGCGGCCTTTATATTAATTACTCATTATATAAATTGTATTTAATTTTTATGCTGTTGTATCTAACCATATTTTTTTTCGTGCCAAAATTGTATTAACCATTGTTAACATAATGTCACCAAAAAAAATTCGCGCCATCCAAAAGAAAGGGGCCCGATCGGGTAAGATTTCTTTAAAAAAAAAAATGAAAGAAGTTCGTAATGGGGTTCGTAAGGATGTGCAGTAAGTACTTTTAAATATAAGCTTCAAAATAAAAATACATTATTTCATGTCCAATTTTGTGACTTTTTGTAAGTAAAATATGTTATTTTGTAGAACATAATAATATGTTAAATTACTATACAGGTATATATAATAGTTTTATTATTTTATGAATATTACTTGATTTATAGCATATGTTCATATATTTTATAGTGATGTGAGTCTCGTATAAATTTGCAAAAAATTTACGATTTACATTTTTTTACCGTTCAAAAAGTTGAGTGATCACTTTATTTGTATACTTCTATATTTTTATCGAGATTTTAGAATTATAATAAAAATCAATATTTTATAAAATTATATTGATCGATATTATGTTTTTAATTTGTAACATTTTATTAATTATTTTTATTTAAACACATAATAGAAAACTATAATTATTAATTATTATTTTTAATAAAGGGATTAAATACTAATGCTTTATTTTATATTTGTCTTGCCTTCTTTACATAATATTGTAAAAAAAATTAAATAGGTACACTATAAATTGAATTTTAATAAAAATTTACTAATTATACCGTAATTTTGGTAAATTTAACCGGAAAATGACTCGATAAATTACCAAAAAATTTTTTTACGTAAAATACTCATCATTTATATTTTATAATACAAAATAAAATAATATATTATGTAAGGTATTATTATTACTTACTTTTTTCCTATTTATATCAACAATGTAGGTATCTGCTATTTAATTGTAATAAAATATTTTTACAGTGTATTACCACTATATTGGCACTATTACCTAATGATTAAAAATTAAATTATATTTTTGTATTGCATATATTTGCTATAATATACATCTTATACTTTTTGTTTATAAAAATTTAAATAAAATTAATAATTAATTATTACTGCAAAATTAAAATCAAGTACCTATTTATGTTTGTATTCAATTTTTTAATTACTTGACTGGGTGTAATAGTGTACCTAATAAACTAAGTGTACCTCTAAGGGGCGCGGGAAAAATTTATTTTTAGGGCGCCAACTATAATTTTATATATCCACTTCGCGATTATATCATATTTCGTAAATATTTGAAGTTTCAAACGCTTATAAAAAAAATTGTGCCTATGTATTTTATGTAATTTTATCGACATTTATAAAAAAAACAAACAAAAAAAGTCGAATATTTCAAATGCCTATAATAGCTGTAAAAATTAACGAAATATTTTGAAAAAAAAATCCCGTGAAGAAAATGTCACAATAAACAACTGGTGGAAGTTTTGAATTTCTACGGCTTATACTTTTTGAATAAAAATAAACATCGAAAATTGTTTGAGCTAAATCTTTGTTTAAGGTGATTTTGTAAAAGTTTAAATTTCAAACGCTCATAAAAATTTTTGTCCGGTAGAATTTTTTTTACAGATATTCAAAGAAAAACTTATGGAAAATTTGGTACCAAATTTTCAAATCTTAGGTATAAATACTTAAAATTGTATGAATATTCAACAACAAAATAACTTCAAATTTTCGCGATTTTAACATATTTGAATAATGTAAATAAACTAATTGTAAATAGTATTAATTTATAAATTGTATATAGTATTCAAACCACAAGGTAACAAGATAAGTTCAGTTATAAAGGCTGATTCCTAGGAGTCATGTACTATGTAAAAACAATTTACAATAATGTACACTAAGCTTTTATCTATGAATATATTATACAAGTACAAGGGCCCCATAACATTTTTTAAACTAGTGCCCTACAAAACCTAGTTGCGGCACTGTAATGTAGTTACTCAAATCAGTCTAATCTAATAATTGTAATAAATTATACATTTATAAATAATTAGTTATTACGAGTAAATAATAATTTATGCAAAGTTAAAAAAAATATACAAAAAATGGTATTCAAAAATGACTATATGTTATGAAATAATTTTTCAAAATTTTTTTTTGATTTTATATTTATTTAGAAATGAAGATTTAATTAATGAATTAAATAATGTAATTCCGTCTTCTAATGCAGAAAATATGATTTTGAATTATAACTCAACAATTGTTTCCAATAAGTATGACGCGGTCCCGCGCAAAATCTGTTTGAATTTAAACAGCCTTTGCGCGGAAGCCGCGCCGCGGCTTCTCAATCAAACCGCCAATCGACGACGGACGACGCCGGCGCGCGACACGCGCGCCTGGAACCGTCGGCCGGCCGTCCAGCGAACCGGATTGTCAAGGCGCGCTCTCTCGTCTTCCCGACACCGTCCGGTACACACCCGAACCCACACCCACGTTCCGTGTATTTCGCTACCGGTTCCCAACTGAATAATCTTTTGTGTTTTGTAACAATAAATACTTAAGTGACACCTCATTGCGTCGTTCGTTTGTTCGTTGTGTTTTAATAATCCTTTTTCTATTATCCCGTTTGTTGTTCCGACCCGACTGTCTCCGTCGGTCACCACCATCACCTCACCACACCACGCGGCTCAACATAAGTCCGCGTCAACTGGCTCCCCGGCCAGGAATCACCGGTAAGTGAAAACTATCTTACCACTCACTACCACCCACATATACCCCCCGTTGCGCGATTGGAAAAAGTCCCGGACGCGATCCGACAAAAACGTGGTTTTCAGGCGTTAACGGAAAAACCGGCGTTACGTAATATATCACATAACCATAAAGGACGTAACGACCGGCCGCGCCGCCCGACTTACGGACGCACCGACCGCACCGCGCGCGACGCTCCAAACACACACGACGTAGGTAGGCATTAGGCAGGAACGCAAAAGCGCGAGAGGGTCTAACCACCACCGCCCAGCACCGCCACTCGCTACGTCAACACGCGATGACCCGGGACAAAAATACCACGTAATCGGACTGCCGCGGCCGCCGCTTAAAGCGACAGCCGCCGCCTTCCTCGGTAGTATAGTGGTAAGTATCCCCGCCTGTCACGCGGGAGACCGGGGTTCGATTCCCCGCCGGGGAGCCAGTTGACGCGGACTTATGTTGAGCCGCGTGGTGTGGTGAGGTGATGGTGGTGACCGACGGAGACAGTCGGGTCGGAACAACAAACGGGATAATAGAAAAAGGATTATTAAAACACAACGAACAAACGAACGACGCAATGAGGTGTCACTTAAGTATTTATTGTTACAAAACACAAAAGATTATTCAGTTGGGAACCGGTAGCGAAATACACGGAACGTGGGTGTGGGTTCGGGTGTGTACCGGACGGTGTCGGGAAGACGAGAGAGCGCGCCTTGACAATCCGGTTCGCTGGACGGCCGGCCGACGGTTCCAGGCGCGCGTGTCGCGCGCCGGCGTCGTCCGTCGTCGATTGGCGGTTTGATTGAGAAGCCGCGGCGCGGCTTCCGCGCAAAGGCTGTTTAAATTCAAACAGATTTTGCGCGGGACCGCGTCAAGTATGCATATTTGTATTTTCTTTAGATTATATTTTAATCTATCAAATTTTTTTTAATGCAGTGTTTTAGTACACGATTTAAATCTTGATGAAACGTCTGTATCGTCTGTAGTGAATACATTATCATCGGATATAAAGTAAATATTAAAACCAAGTTAAATTATGAATATATCGAATAACTTTGTTATTTTATGAAGTAATTTAGATGCAACATTGATTTGTCCTGAATATAAGGCCTCATGTTCTCGATTAGAGTGAGCAAAGATTTAATACTATTTTTCTTATAAGTACCTAAGGTTTTATTTTAATATCTATTACTTTTTTTTATTTAGTAACACTAATACAACATCCATTAATTCGGATGAACATTTGACTAAAATTCAGTCCGTCAGTGATGATTCATATATAAACGTTACCGAGTATGAGTTCACATTAATTATAGTTACCTATTGTTATTATTTTTTATTTATTTATTTATTTGTATTTGTTTTAACTATAAACTTAGACCTTTAACTGGGCGAAGAATTGTTGATATTTTATATTTTATTAATCAAATACAAACAATGGTACACGATGGTGGTTTCGATTGCTCATTTATGAACATGGAGTTTCAATCCGAAAAAATAATGGGCCATCAGTCAATTTTAACATTTAAGTGTAAAATGTGTAACATTGAAAATAAAATTTACACCGAAAATCCAAAGACGGAAAAATGTCCCGTAAACAAAGCTGCTGTGCATGCTTGTCAAGCAATTGGTATTGGTTACACACAGTTATCAGAACTTATGGCATTTCTTGAAATTCCTACAGTATCAGAAACAAGCTATATAAAAATTCAAGAAGGAGTAGCAGATACTGTCCATGACACAGCGTGGGATGAGATGAAACGAGCGGGCGAAGAAGAAAAACAAATTGCACTAGAGTGTGGCGAAGTGGATGTAGATGGTATACCAATTATAACTGTTGTTGCCGATGGCCAATGGTCAAAACGTAGCTACAGAACAAAATACGATGCGTTATCTGGTGCAGTAAGTTACATCTACAGACAAAAATAATAATTTTACATTTTTACACATACAAAAATAAACATATTAAATATAGTAAGCATTTAGGTAAGTACATAAATTTAGATTTTTCTTGTATCAAATTACTTATAGGCAACGATAATAGGATTTAAAACAAAAAAAGTTCTTTTTATCGGAATACGAAATAAGTATTGTACTATATGCCAAAGATCGAAAAATAGTAATCAAGTCATTGTTTCTGAACACAAATGTTTTCTTAATTGGCATAAATCTTCAACTAGTATGGAAGCGGATGGTGTGCTCGAGGGTTTTAGCAAAAGCATAGAAATGCATGGGCTGAAGTATAATTGTTTAATTGGTAAAATCAAAATAAATCTTAAACAATTTATAAAAACTAATAATTTCTATAACTATTTGTATACAAAAATTTAATAGGCGATGGGGACAGTAGTGTCACAAAACGTTTGAATGAATGTCAACCGTATGGCCCAAATTTTCATATTCGTAAAATAGAGTGCCGAAATCATATGATGCGGAATTATGCTACTAAACTTACAGCATTAGCCAGAAACACAAAATTTCCACTCCGAATACGTAAATTTATTTTAGGAAATATTTTGCGGTTTAGAGGAGACGTGACAAAGTCTGTTTTACACTGGAAAAATGAAATTGGTATCACTAAATTACAAAAAATTAAAGGTATTAGTGTATTTCTAATATATATATATATATATATTTAGGTACCTTCTTATAATTTTTGAATGCTTGTAACTAAACATTATATATATTTTTTTTTTTTTAAACGTTATTTGTATTGTAATAAATTAACCAAACAAATCAACAAAATAATTCATACATAATTCATAAATAAAATATAGTAAAATTAATTGTATTTTCATATTGTAGGTATACAAAAAGATATTGCGAATGCACCATACCATCGACTTGGCCAACATATAAATTGTAGTTCTTATTTTTGTGACGGGTCGAAAAATAACGAACAAAACTTGGTTCCCGAGGCTGAAACCTCTGGAATAATGTATGAAATAAAAAATTATACATCGCGGCTTGTATCTAACGCAGATAGTTTGTTAGAGAACAAAAATAATAATATATGCGAACAGTTCAATGCTTTAATAAACAAGTTCGTAGCAGGTAAAAGATTGAATTTCTCGGGAAAAGGTAGTTATACAACAAGAGTGGAGGCAGCTGTTGTATCTTTTAATTCAAAGCAATATTTAAGAACAATTCACAAAACGATAACTAACTGTAGTCCAGGTAAACTAAATTATTAATTTATTATTTCATTGGTATTGATTTATGATATGATAACTATTAACTGGTATTATTTAGTACAATATACTTTTAATCATAAATATTTAAGGTAAATTTGGAAAGCGATTTCTTCTAAATTACGATCGAAAAAGAGCCAACACTATGAAAAGGAGGAAATTATTTCCAGAAATTAGAAAAAATAAAACTAAACGTTCAGATGGACCAGATGCAGATTACGGCATGGCTGAACCTCTTATTGATTCGTATTCTCAAAAAGAGATTGAAGAAAAAAAAACAAATTTCCTGGAAACATTAAGTCGGTCTAATTTTTCACAAATTGAAAAAGATACGAGAGGACAAAGTAACACTCAAATTTGGTTCAAAGAACGAAAAACACGTCTTACAGCTTCCAGATACGGTCAAATTTGCAAAATGCGATCTAATACAAGCTGTAAAAATACGGTATATAATATTTTATATGGAACGGAACCTTACACAAAATCTTTAGAATATGGAAGAAATATGGAGGCAAACGCTCGTCAAAAATTTGAAGAAATTACTACTAAAAAAGTGATTGAATGTGGCTTAGTTATTGATCCTGAAATTCCATTCCTAGCAGCAAGTCCAGGTATTTTTTTTAGTGAACATGCAATAATGTATAAATTAAATTAATTGTTAAATTATATTTTTTCATTTTACATAATTTACGATCTATCAACAAATTTGTATACTTTCAGATGGGTTGATTGGAAAAGACGCTTTGATTGAAATCAAGTGTCCATATTCAGCCCAGAATACAGAAAATGCAATCGATGCCATAAATATTAAACAGGTGTTACTATGATTTATATTAATTTATTACCTAAAACTATAAGTTATTAACAAATTATTAACCATTATTATTTTTAAAAAATACTTCATTGTCTTATTTGTAATTTAATAAAATTACAGTTGAAATACTGCAAAGTTGTAGACAACAAAGTTATTTTAAAAAGAGACCACTCGTATTTCTACCAAGTCATGGGACAACTACGAGCAACTTGTCGACAGAAATGTTTTTTCGTAGTATATACAAAAAACTGGATTAATATCGAAGAAATCGAATATGATAATAACTTTTGGATGGATAAAATGGAGAAACAATTGAAAATGTAATAACTATTTTTATTAAATAGCTAATATATTGTTATTTTCATATTTTTAAATCTAATTAATCTAAATATCTAATCGAATTTTAAAATATCTCATGTAACATATATTATTTATTATGTAATAGGTTTTATTTGGAATGTTTGTTGCCGGAAATAATCAATTCTCAATTTCCGAAACGTATGTTGAAATCAGATATACTAGAACCAGACCGAATATTGGAGAAAATTAAAATAAAAAAAAAATAATGCGTTGTTTTTTGTGTGCATTATTATCGGAGAACCAAAAAATAATATTATTAAAACATTAAAACGAATTATTGTATAATATATTTAGTATGTTTGGTAATTATATCAATTAGTAATTAAGAACGGACAAATTTTAGAAATATACAGAAAGTAAGCTGGTAGCATTCAGGATTATTTCGTCACTATAAAATATGTAAATGCTGTTCTATAAAAGTTGTTGTACTTTATTTATCTGTACACATATTAAATTAAATAACAACTAGTAAGTTGTGACTAGTGAATGCAAAGCCAGGATTCAGGAGCGAGTGTGGCGTGTGCTTAGAAATAAATTTGCGAAATAAAAATATAAGAAACGGTCTACTGCATTGACACGAAACGTTCTGAACGGCGGTCCGTGAACAATAATGTAGGTACCTCTCGCGCGATTACAAGTTGTAAAAAAAAAGTTTACTCCCTACTTTATAGACCTAATACAACGACTAAAGAAATGACATATGGTATTGAAATTTAACGTCAAGCCAGAAAAAAGTATGAAGAATTATATGGTGTTTCAGTTGAAGCATGTGGATTGTTTGCTGACATAGAATTCCCTATTTGCCTAATTGCTACGTTGGGTACCTACACATATTATTACAAAAATACAAAATTATAGCTTTAACATTCAAAATATACTCAATATAAAACTAATATAGTACTATTACGCAATAAATACAGGTCGCGTAAGTATGCGCGAATATTAAAAATATTACGGTGGCAATGCGGCATAATGTACGTGTAACGTGTATGCATTTTATATTTACGCGACCTGCCACAAACGAAGGTTGAGAAAGTAATAAACGTTGCTCCCGAATGAGCACAATCGTCGGCCCGGCCGCCGACGACGAGTAGTGGGCGCGGCTTAAACGTCGCGTGCTTGCGCATCGCGAAAACACCTAACAGCGCGTTCTCTCGGTCGTTGTTTACGTTTCGCTTTCGGTGTGGCGTCCTCTTAACCGTTTACATAAAGTATTTGTGGGTGTTACCGAATCTGATGACAAATCGTACATAATTAGTGTTAAAATTTGCGTAATTTTTGTTATTTCGAGAGTACCAAATGGTTCCTCCATAAAATTATTTGCTGTATTAATATGTCCTATTAGACACCTCGGTGTGTGTTCCGGTCCTAAAGTATATGTTTCGTGTATTTCTTGTTCGATTGCCATTCCTAGTTCCTCAATGAATTTCCTTTGTCTGTCCCTAAAATTAAAATTTATATTTTTTTTTTTATCGTATTTATTTTTTGCTATTATTTTTATTGTATATTTTTTTTGATTAGATTTATTATTCAAGAGAACATGGAACCTGACGAAACCCGGACTCGGATATACGTCATTCGAAACCGTGCGTATATATTTTTTTGTTTTGCTTAAGAATTTATTTAATTATTTTTTTTTTATTATCCTTATTAGCTCGAGGCCCGGATTTTACCATGGAAATTGAGTGGCCGGAGGGGTTTACCCCTCCGCCGGACCATATCGTTTCGGCAATCCTGTTATCGGAAGATGAAGAAGACGAATCCGAATAAAAAAACTTGTTTATTAAATTGAATTTATTTTCATGATGCTAACTATCATGTATATTTTTGTTTAACCCGTCGTTGGTCGCGTGGTGAGAGATTCTCTCATTACGATATTATTTTGGTCACTACTGTCTGTTATATCGGTTTATTGCCTATTAGTTGTACTATACCCTGTGTGCAAAAATTGGTGCTATAGATGTCACATAGACTTCTCATTTAGTAATGCGAAGTTATAAATTAATGCTTATTAACTTCTTTGAGATGTACTTGGTACGCCAAACGCCAGGTTGATTGATATTATAAATACGATATTAGGTTAAGTGAGGTATCATCTACATCTCTATAATCTCGCATGGTTTTTATATTTAAGTAACAAAAGGTCAAATAGAGCTACATTTTATAGTTGAATAGACATCTGATACAGGATCTATTAGAAGTTACAAAACAACGCATTCATGTCGCATAGAAGTATACATTATCAATAATTATAACATCTATGTGTTATCAATTAAATGCCTATATTTATATTCGCATGGATATCACAATATTAACACAATATTGAACATACTTTACATATAGATAAGTACCTATTTATATAGGTACATATAATATATAATATATATATATATTATTTGTATATAAACCTACTTATCCAACATACCTAAGTTGATTGACTTGAATATATTTGTATATTGTGTTCATATAATAATAAATAAATTATAATAAAGTTTAATTTATTCATAATTTAATAATTAATATTTAGGTATTTAAATTGCTTATAATTGAACAACTAGGTAGGTACCTATAATATATTAATATATATAATACTATATAAAACCGCATAGCCAATAAATACAAAAGTAGATTGTAGGTAGTATGACTGACTTATATATTTTATGTAGGTACCTAGGTACTTACCGTTAAAAAAAATCTTGGTTTACATAATTTTTAAATATAAATTTAGTTTAGTTTATAGAAAAAACTACTGCAATCAATTATTGTGTATTTTTTTTTACTTTTAAAGCCTCAGTGGCTACCTATAACGTATTGCCTATTGGTATATATATATTAAAGTGATAATCGTAATTCATAACACTAATAATAGTTGAATAATAAATGTAAGAATACTAGATAGTAGGAGTTAGTAAGATTATAGCAACAATTATATACTAATTATTTTTATTAGGATAAAATGTAGTATAGGAATAATAAAAAACAACAGTATTGTCCAAGTAAATGCATAATTTTATTTAATAAAGATCATGTAACAATGTAATTGCAACTGCTTTTACATCAGAAATACTAAAAAATAAACATTTATGCTTAATATCACACATATTAATAAGAAAACTATCTGTTTCATCAAATATATCTACATAGAAGTCTCCAACAATATCAGACACTAATGGATTGTCAAAAAATGGGACTGCGTTGTATTTTACAACTTCAAAATATACACTTCCATTAGCCTTTTTTATAATTTTTTTAATACAAATAATGACATTATTTTTCAACAAAAAATACATATTTTTCTTGTTTACAGAACTCAGAATACAATTTTCAGTTATTACATTTTCATAAAGAGTATCTGTGGGATCAGGATGAATTAAATGATTATAAACTATTTCTTTTTTTAAAATTGGGCAACTAGCAATTGGTTCAACTATCTCAATTTTTGTTTGTTCTATTATTCTATTGAACACATCTTGAAGAGGAAAACGAGCATTTTTTAATGACATTTTAATCATTTGTAGGTAATTTTCAAATTTGAATGCACTAAATTTGTCCAGTGGTCCATGTATTTTTACAAAATGTGCAATATGAATTAAACCATGTACATTATATGTAATATACTCTTCACCATATAAAAAAGAATATTCTTCAACAAATTGTCTCAATAAATCATTGGCAACATCATTGTAAACCATACATGTATCACCAGATAACAGGAGTCTAATGGCGCAATGTAATAACATAAAGTGTTTGTAGAGCGATTTTTTTAATCTGCCCTTCAGTACAATAGGGCCAGAGTATAACAAAAAAGATCTAAACTCTGTCGCTTTCCAATACTCTAGTTCTTCTATAGACCGAGGGGAACGACTAAATTCTTTGGGGAAAAATGCTTTAAGACAAATAAGCTCTGAAGAAACTTCATTAGAAATATCATCATTCAAAAATCGAACTGGTTTTTTGCCTTTTTTCCAAAATAACAATAATCTTTTAACAACGCCCAAACATATATTGTGCATATATTCTAATACCACGTTGTCTACTATATTTGTATTAAATTTGGTTAGTGGACAAAAACCTTTATGATAGTCTTCATCGTGTTGATTACGAAATGAAATATTTGTCCGTAAAGAAGAATTTAAGTCAGGAAAAGCCATTCGATTATTTAGAAAAACACCTTCGACAATACATGAATTACAGCTATGGTAGGCATTGTGTCCTTTTACATTCAAAATAAAAGCCTTTGCTGGGGCATCACAAATTACCTGGCTAATATTTAAAAAAAAAGTTTTGTTATTGATAGACAAGCCATTGACTAATAATAATTCCATTTCAGAAATGAATGGATTTAAAAAATCAGATATTGAATTTGGTTTTTTGAATTTACCATGGTAAATTCCAACAGGTACAACTATTTTAGATAATTCATGAATATCAATAAATGAAATTAATATAGGCCAAAAATTGGATTTTGAACTTTTTGTTGCAGGAAGACCATCAATATTCAAACTTAATTTAATTATAGAAGTATGTTTAATTTTATCAAAGTATTTAGTTAAGATTGGTGTGATCATGAACTCAATACCTATATGAATATACGATCCTGGTTCTATACTAATAATTTCATGTTTTTTAGGAGTTTTTAATAAGGTTCTCGAATCTTTGGGTAATTTAAGACCTTCTGATCTTAAAATTACTAAAAGCTCATTTACAAAGTTATGTGATACATGGTATTTAGAAATTAACTTTTGCAATTTATTTTCTAATGAAATTTGATCACAATCATTAACATAATTGTCACTTGCAAAATTATCTACAACACATTCAGCAGTAGTATGTACTACTGTAGTACTAGTTGAGTTAGTTTTTGAAAGGCTAATATCTGAACATACGGTCATTTCTGTAGTATCTTCAGACAATGTTGTTACTGGAGTGAAGTTATTTGAGAATTCCTCCTCTGGTTTTGTTGTTACTTCCATGCTGATACAACCCGAGTCCTTTTCGAGTGGATTAGCTGGTTTAATATTTATAGATAGCATAGTACGTTGAAATTGTCTTCTTGACATTGCATGAATTTCTTTTCTTTTTTTCAACTATAGTTAAAACAATAAATTGTATTATTAATAATCAAGAGTGATGCATTTTAATTAAATTGCATAAATTGCATTAAATGCATTTTAATTATGGAGTACATAAGTGAAGCAAGTCTCAA